CAAGGCAGCCAACTTTTGTTTTTTAAGATTTTATTTATTTTTAGAGAGAAGGAAGGGAGAAAGAGAGGGAAAGAAGGATCATTGTGTGGTTGCCTCTCTCACACTTCCCACTGGGAGACCTGGCCTTTACCTTAGGCATGTGCCCTGACAGGGAATTGAACCGGTGACCCTTTGGTTCACAGCCTGAGCTCAATCCACTGAGCTACACCAGCCAGAGAGCACCCAACTTTTATATAGTCTTTTTCTTTGGAGGCAAAGTTTATGTGTGAATTGCTAAATCTTATTGACTTAAAACCATAGAAATGGACTATTTTTCACAATTCTGTGGGTTAACTGAGTGGTTCTTCTGCTGGTTTCTCCTTAACTCACATGTCTGCATTCACCTGGTGAATGGGCAGAATTGGGAGGTTCACCCTGGCCTCACTCACATGTCTGGGGTATTGGTGGTGGCTATTGGCTAAGGTACTTCAGTTCTACTCCACATGCTTCTCATCCTGCATGAGGCCAGACCCACTTTCTTACATTACGGAAGAAACATTACAGGGGCACAAAAGTGGAAGCTCCAAGGCTTATTGAGGCCTAGAGGCCTAGGCTCTGGGACTTGCTCAGAGGCTCACCTATATTGAAAAGAGGGGTATAGACTCACCACTTAATGAGAAGAATAGCAAAGTTGTCAAAGCGGCAGGGATCCAGGAAGCTGGGGGCACAGCATAAGAGTTGTTAAACTTTAGCTGGCATCAGAATTATCTAGACAACCTGTTCATACACAAATTGCTGGGCTCCACCCCCAGAGTATTTGAGTCAGTAGGGGGGGTGGGACCTGAGAACTTGCGTTTCAAGTTAGTTCTCAGGTGATGGCTGATGCCACTAGTTTAGGGACTGTGCTTTGAGCCACTTGTGGAGGGGTTAAGTGTCCAGAGCAGTCCAGAACAGTGGCTCTCAACCTTGACTGTACATTAGAATCACCTGGGCAGCTGTAACCACATAAATGTCTGCTCTGATTATTAATGGTAAGGAAGATACCAAAACATTGTGCAGTAATATGGTCTTTGGCATAGCAAACTTTGTTGTAATTTAATCTTATGAATTATTGGACAGTTCACTGACTACCTTAAATTTGTTTGCAAATTAATCATTCCTGATTATTTGGGTAAGCCAGTACCAAGAAAAGCTGGATGAACTTTATGTCAATTGTCACCAACTGAGCTGTCAGGGGAAATTTCATTCTTTCAAGTGTGTACTGTGATGGGTCTTTATTATTAAAGACAAGTAAAAAAATAAAATAGATGGGGCTTTCTGGAAGAAGACCTCTCTAGAACTGCACTGAAAACACTGCCTCACAAAAAAGCAGCTGCTGCATGAGTCACACAAACCCTGCCTCCTGAGCACATGCTAGTAGCCTTGATTCTCAAATTGTATGGGGCATCTAATAGCAGGCTAGAGGCTTACTCTCATGAGCATTGCTGCAGGGCTGTGCACTGTGCCATTGTTCCAGCAACTGCAGTATAGTAAATCCTTTCCTCAAAAGCAATGAGGAAACCTTCAGAGAATACTCCAGAGAGGGTAGTTGTTGCTATGTTTTTGTCTGTTTTGCCAAGAAGCAGGGGGAACAACTGAGCTAAAAGGAATTAGAAGTATGTCTACTTCTATGAAAGGTTGATTTCAGAAGTCCAGGCAATATTGCTTCTTTCATCTTCCCTACCTGTGAGCAACACCTCACAGCCCAAATATCTCTGTACCAGCTGACTATTGCCTTAAGTTATACAATTATAAAATAATTTGTGCATTCAATAAATTATAAAGCCTTAGAAGGAGGCATCCCCAAGATTCCTACTTATAAAAACCTATGGGAACCCTGACCAGGTGACTCAGTTGGTTGGAAGCTTTGTCCTGTACACCCCTTAAAAAAGGTTGCAGGTGTGGTTCCCAGTCAGGGGACATGCCTAGGTTGTGGGCTCAACCCTGGCTAGGGTGTGGGTAGGAGGTAACGAATTGATGCTACTCTTTCATTTCTCTCTCTCCCTGTCCCTCTCAAATCAATGAACATATCTTAGGGTGAGAATTATAAAACAAACAAACATGAGAGGTCCATTCTAGAAGACAAACAGGAAAAAAAATGGCCAACAAGCACATGAAAAGATGCTCAATGTCATTATCATTAGGAAAATGGAAATCAAAACCACAATGAGATACCACTTTACAGCCATTATGATGGCTATAATAATAATTTTAAAATTGGAAAATACTAATATTGACAAGGATGGGAAGAAATTAGAACTCTTAGTCACTACTGATAGAAATAAAATGATGTAGCCACTGTGAAAAGCAGTTGGTGATTTCTCAATAAATTAATCCTGAAATTATGAACTACCAATTTACTCGTAGGTAAATACTCAAAAAGTTGAAAATAAATGTTCAAACAAAAACTTCTACATGAATATTCTTAGCAGTTCTATTAACAATAGTCCATCAATGGGTAAATGGATAAACTAAATGTGGCATGACTATACAATGGGATTTTGTTCAGGAAAGAAATGCTGACACATGCTACAATGTGGATGAAACTTGTAAGTATTATATGCTCAGTGAAAGAATGCAGACACAAAAGGTAACATATTAGATGATTCAGTTTATAGGAAATGTCCAGGATAGGCCAATCCATAGAGACTCTGGATCTAAAGAGTAAGAATAATGTATGCAGACTAAAGAAGATTAGTGGATGACAGGGACTAGGGAGAGAGGAGAATGAGTGACTGCTTAATACATATGGGATTTCTTTTGGGGGTAATGAAAGTCTTCTGGAACTAGATAATGGTGATGGTTGTACAACATTATGAATGCATTAATGCCACTGAACTGTACTCTGTAAAATAGTTAAAATGGTAAATTTTGTTACTTTTAAACTGTGTATTTTATCATAGTTTTTTAAAAATTGGGGTTACTGGTGACTCTGAAAATCTAGTGGGAGAGGGGGCAATCAGCTTCCCAAAGTCAAGTTACTAAATGAGAAGAAAGAAGGAAACTCTCTATTGACTAGGGAGAAACAAAAGGGAATGGCAGTCTGCAGCTGTGAAATCGTTGATAGTGAAACCAAATTCAATCTAGCCCTTTCAAGAATTGTGTTTGTGTCCTACAGTTGGATGTGTGGTTGTCTCTAAAAAGTTAAAACTCAAATATTTGGAGTTCCAGCCAAGATGGAGGCATAGGTAGAAACCCTTGTCTTCCTTGCACAGCCAAAAAGAGGATAACAACCAATCTAAAATCAATAAACAACCAAAAGTGCCAGAAAAATCAAACTGCATGGAACTCCAACAACCAAGGAACTAAAGAAAAAATCAACCAAAACAACTAGACCAGTAAGGGGGCAGACAATGTGACTGACTCAGAGAAACCTTGGAAAGGTGGCTGAGGGGTGGGGCTGGCTGCAGAGCTTGGTGGACTTAAGGGGAAAACTGAGAGTTAGAGCTGACTGTGGGCTGCTGTTGGGGTTGCTGCAGTGGGATTTTCTCCCAGTCTCACAGGAAAGATGAAAAGTGTGTTAGAGACAAGCAGGTGAGCTGTACTGTTCCCTCTCTGGCCCCTCCCCCACAGGCAGTACTGTTGGGCAGCAAAGAGGGTTTCCCTGCTGGAGTGAACACCTAAGGCCCTACCCCCTTACAACCTATCAGCTGTGCCAAGACAAAGAAATATGGCCAAAATGAAAGAACAGAGCAAAACCTCAGAACTAAGCAATGAGGAGATTGTCAACCTATCTGATGGAGAGTTTAAGCCCTAGTAATCAAAATGCTCATAGAACTGATTGAGCTTGGTCGAAAAAATGAAAGAACAAATGAAAGATGTCCAAAATGAAATCCAGGATTCAAAGCAATGATTTGGAACAAAAGGAAGAAATAAACATCCAACCAGATCAGAATGAAGAAACAAAAATCCAAAAAATTAAGAGAGGCTGAAGATTCTTTGGGACAACCTGAAACGTTCCAATATCTGAATTATAGGGGTGTCAGAAGAAGAACAACAGCAAGAAATTGAGGACTTATTTCAACATATAATGAAGGAAAACTTCCCCAATCTGGTGAAGGAAATAGACTTCCAGGAAGTCTGGGAAGCCCAGAGAATTCCAAAGAAGTTGGGCCCAAAGAGGAACATGCCCAGGCCCATCATCATTAAGTTACCCAAGATTAAAGACAAAGAGAAAACTCTAAAAGCAGCAAGAGTAAAGAGGACAGTTACCTACAAAGGAGTTCCCATTAGATTATCAGGTGATTTCTCAAAAGAAACCTTGAAGACAAGAAGGGGCTGGAAGGAAGTATTTGAAATCTTGAAAGGCAGGGACCTAGATACAAGATTAATCTATCCAGCAAAGCTTTCATTTAGAATGGACTGTGGTTGATAAATTAACTGTGATTAATGTAGAACTCTGCTGTCTAGTGCATAACCACCAGCTGCAAGTGGCTATTGAGCACTTAAAATGAATCTAGTACAACTTAAGATATGCTGTAAGTATAAATGCATATGAGATGTTGAAGACTTTGTATGGAAAGCAGAAAGTGAAATTATTTCATAAGCAATGTTTTTATATTGATGGTATGTTAAAATTATATTTTGGATCTCTAAGGTCAGATAAAATATATTCTTTTTTTAATTTAAATATTTAATTATTGTTCAAGTACAGATAAAATATATTCTTAAAAATAACGTCACTAGCTTGTTTTCACTTTGTAAAATAAGACTGCAAGGAAATTTAAAATTACATATGCAGCTATATTATATTTCTATTGGGAAATATGGATTTAGAATGTTTTCCACCCACTGTGAGAATTACAGATCTTCACACAACCTCATGTATGTTCGAATTTTACGTAAGCTTTTTAGGAGTAGAGATAATTCATTTAGAATCAAAAGTCTATCAAATTGATTTGTAAGGGTTTTTCTATGCAGGGCTAACAAGTTGAAGCGTAGAAAAGTAGAAAAGGAACTAAAGCTTTGTGGGGACTTCCCAGGTTCGCTGTGATCCTGAAATTCAAGAATTACGTCAATGGCAGAAGAAACTGCGTGAGGACAAGCACATTCGTGAACGAGTCAAAATTTTCTGGGCCAAACAAGAACAGAAAGGTTGGTTGGTTAATTTCATTAAGGGCTTCATCTCCAGAAATTCTGACTGGATATTTTGGGGGTGGGCCCCATGGATCCATGTTAATATAAGGTTCCCTGGGTCTAATGGTCTGCCAGAGTGAAGATGCTGAAGAGGTGCTAGGTCCCCAGTTGTTGTGCTCTTTAAAGTGTGGGATTCTCAAGACCTGCATGTCCTGAGCTCTGCAAAGCTCATGCATGATCATACATTTGTTATTTATTTGGCTGTTATTTGTGTTCCTCACTAGAGTGTAAGCTCCATGAGAACAAAAACCTGTTTCTAGTTCAATGCCTACCTAGCACAGAGTAGGCAGTGTATACATATTTGGTGGATGGACCCCTAGGCTACACTTTACAGATAAAGAAATAGAGGCCCAGGAAGGTTAAGGGATTTGCCTGAGGTCACACAGCCAGTGGGCCACCCAGGACTGGGGCCTAGGTGCCCTCTTTCTGTTATGTGTTCCAACACATACTCAAGGAGAAACACAGAGACAAGACATTCTTCTGAATTCTTCCATCAGACCCAAACCCTAGGAATCTCCTGATTGTTACTTCTCTGATTTCTTATGACCTGGGCTTCAGGTTCTTACTTCTTGTTGACCAAAATGCCTAGGTAGGAGTAGGGACAACCTGCTGCCACCAAGTGTCCCTTGATGTTTCACCTAACTGAATCATTTCTAAACTCATTTCTGAACTCATTTATAAGCTCTACAGAGATACTTCCTTTTTATTTTATTTTTATTTATTGTTTATTTATTTATTTATTTATTTATTAAGTTAATTGGGGTGATATTACCTATTTTAAACCTTATGAATCCAGAGATTCAGAAAATAAATCCCCCAACCAAGGTGACACCATAATTAGACCCCACAGACCTTTGAAACAATTTGAAAATGAATGGTAAACATATGGCAGTTGTTTCAGTTTTGGGGAAAAAAACAGTTAAAAAGCATCTGCACAGCTGAAGAAAACATCAACAAAATGAAAAGGGCACCACCCATATGGGAAAATATATTTGCCAGTGATACCTTGGACAAAGGTTTCATCTTGAAAATATATAAAGAACTGACACAACTCCATTACAGGAAGGCAAACAATTCAGTTAAAAATGGGCAAAGGACAAGGCAAGGTTATCCACTTTCATCACTTCTATTCAACATAGTATTGGAAGTTCTAGCCACAGCAATCAGACAAGAAAGGAAATAAAAGGTATTCAAATTGGAAAAGAGGAAACAAAACTATCATTGATCACAGATGACATGATAGTGTGCATAGAAAATACTATAGACTCCACCAAAAAACTGCTTGACCTAATAAATGAATTTGGCAAAACAGCATGATACAAAGTCAATATTCAGAAATCAAAGGCATTTTTGTATACCGAGAAGGAAACATCAGAAACAGAAATCAGGAGAAAAATCCCATTTCATATAGCAACAAGAAAAATAAAGTACATACGAATAGGTCAGAAGATGGTGGCAAGGTAGGTGGGAGCAGAGCCCAGTTCTCCCTGTGCCCAGCTGGATCACCTAGCCGATCTTCTGAGAAACAGAGTGAACAGCCAGTGGAATCCCAGCTTATATGAGCTTTAGTGGCAAAAAGTTGCAGATGATGTTGAAAAACAGTGGAGACTGTGCTAGGACAGTAAGGTCCCTGGGATCTGTGCAGGGTCCAAGGCTGCTGCAGCCTCTGGCCCAGCACCTGCCACAGGATATGGGGAGGAGAGTTAGAGCATCAGCTCCCTCCCCTAGTGGAACATGGAGGGCAGCCCAGCAATAGGAGGGATCTGGATCGTGGAAGTCGCTGGGGGGAAAAGAGACAAAATGGGAGACACACACTGATGGTACACACCCTCTGGGACTGTGGATGCTGGTACCAGAGAAATTGGGGTGCTGGGCAATACCTGGAGAAGGGAGGAGTTGGGCTGTGTCAGACCTGACATGGATAGTCTCCCGACTGGTTGGAAAGTTGGTCTGTGTGAAAAGCCATGTGCTTGTTAAGAACTGCAGTCAGCTGCTTTATAAGGAATTCTCCAGCAGCAGCTGGCTCGCCCGAAGTGTGATTTCAGCTGCCTGCGCCCAGAGACAGTAGGTGAGCTGAACCATGAGCCCCACTTGTCTCTCACTTCAGGCCCAGTGAGTGGCTAAGCAGAACCATACTACCCACTTCTCTCACACTGAGTCCCTAGAGACAGTAGCTGAGCAGAACCATGCACACACTTTGCCCCCAGATTGACTGGCTGAGCAGAAAGGTATGTCCCACTTGTTTTGGGCTCTGTGCTAGAGATTGACTCATGCTGTGAGTGGCTGAGTGGCTGATTTGAGCCTGGCAGCTTAAGGAGGTCCTGGGCCTGAGGCCCAGAAACTGAATATTTTGACCCAGACCTGGTCCCCATCCTCTCAAAACCATAGGAAGGGAGAAAAGCAAAGCCCAGCCACCCTCTTCTTGTGGCATCTAGGAAGACCAGCAGAACTCACTGAACAGTTTTAAAGTCAGCAGGAGTCTTATTGTTATCTTTTTTTTCTTTTTGGATCCTTTCTCATTTTTTTCCCTTTTTTTCTCTTCCCCCAAGTAAGACAATAAGACCTGTAGTTACAAAGGGTCCAGAGACAGATTGAAAGGTGGAACACTAGGCTAACCCCCAAAACTGAAAAACTGAGGCAAATGTCACTTTGTTAGCTGGCATTTTATTGTGTATGTATATTATTATTACCTTGCCATTATTTTTACTACTTTCATTTTATTAGTATTTTTCCCTTCCTTATACTTATTTTTTCTCATTTTATTTCTCTGTTTACTTGCATTGTTTGACTGATTTTCCTTATTCTCACTTTCTTGTATTTTAATTTTCCTTCTTACACTTCACCTGTGTTCCTATAACACACAACTCATGATCAATGTACTTTCTGTTCTGGCTATCCAAATCATATATTTCTTGTCATATTGTTGTTGTTCCAGTACTATTGTAAATAATTATTGTTCCACACAATTGTGCATAGTACAGAGCAACCCTCCCTGATCTTAGCCCACTTCACTTTAATCCTCAGCATTATTACTGTTGTGGTCAACTCTGTTTTCCCTCATACACTATGCACACTTTATATCTTTTACTCTCACTATATCTCATCATTTAAATTGTGCAAAAGCACTCTGATTTGTGGATTAAGCTCACAATCCTCCTCCCCTCTAACAAGAGTCTTATCTCTCTTTCACCTTTTACAAAAAGTTGTTAGTTGGGTGAAATATCACAGTTAACACTCTACTTACTCAACGAATCTCCTATCACTTCTATACTTGCTGATACTTTAAATCCCATAAAATACCCTCCTGCTGTCTTAATCCATTTTGCCTACCCCCTGCCACTGATCACATACATAAATGTGTGGGAGCTGCGAATATCAGTATACCTGCTGTAGGAGAAAAACCACCAACAAAGGAACCACTAAAGGTAAAAACCAAAGTACAGCAAGAGAGCCCACACAAACAGAAGAAAGGGCAAACCTAGAGCACCTGGACAAGGCAATCAAAGACACCACACCACCACTGAACCTCACAGAATTCCTACCATAGAGGTTCACCCTACAAAGATAGCTAGCAAAGTGAAATATCAGGAAGTGCAGAAACAAACAAAAAGAGTCACCTAAAATAGGGAGACAAAAAAAAAGAACATGCAATTAAAAGGAAGGGAAAACTCCTCACTAAAAGAGCTAAATGAAATGGAGGTAATCAAACCACCAGATAAAGAATTCAAATTAGTGGTTATAAAGATGCTCATGGGAGCATCTTTATTGTGTATGTGTATTATTATTACCTTGCCATTATTTTTACTACTTTCATTTTATTAGTATTTTTAAATGTAGTTGTCACAGACAACTACAAGGAACTGAGTGAGAACTACATCAGCATGATGTAGGAAATGCAAACTATAAACAAAAACCAGGAAGAAATTAACAATGAAATCTCAGAAATAAAAAACATATTAGAAGAAAGTACAAGCAGGCTGCATGAAGCAGAGGATCAAATCAGGGAGTTCGATGACAAGGTAGAAAAAAGTACCCAGATAGACCAAGAAAAGGAAAAGAGAACCTGAAAGAATGAACAGGTGGTAAGGGAGTTCCAACACGAAATGTAACAATATCCATATAATAGGGATAACAGAAGGAGAAGAAGAGCAAGGATAGAAAACCTGTTTGAAAAAGGAATGATGGAAAACTTCCCTAATTGATAAGAGAAAACATCACACAAATCCAGGAAACACAGAGATTCCCAATCAAGAGGAACCCAAAGAGGCCCACTTCAAGACACATCACAATTAAAATGGCAAAATTCCAAGACAAAGAAAGAATCTGAAAGGCATCAAGGGAGAAGTGAGAGTAATATACAAGGGAGCTCTGATAAGGCTAGCAGCTGACTTCTCAATGAAAATGCTCCAAGCCAAAAGAGAATGGGTAGAAATATTCCAAGTAATGAGAACCAGTGCCATAACCAGCATGGCTACATCGGTCAGGTCCCAAGGGAAGGCAATGGGGGATTGAGAAATAGACAGAGTCAAAGCGGGGTCAGGTGGAATCCCTTCTCTGGGATGCAGAGGAGGAAACTGTTTATTGGTGAAGTCAGACTGTATATATTGAGCCAGCTCTGAAGCAGAGCATGAGAAAGACAAACCACAAGGCTAGGTACATTGTATTTTTAAAGAACATTTTCTACTCCTTCTTGGTACAGTCATAGAGCAAGCAGCCAGGACATATATTCCCTGAAACAATCTATTAGGCAGTCTTCCATGGCCTAGGGCAGCTGTGCTGTACCCAAGGCCTGCTTCCAACTCCCTTGGCACACATTATCCTGTTTGGCCCTCCACACCAGAGGCCTGAAACCAAGATTACTCTAGCTAGCAAGGCTCTCAAGATGGAAGGCCAAATAAAGAGCTTCCCAGGCAAATGAAGTCTAAAAGAATACACCTCCATCAAACCAGCTCTGCAAG